GTGAGCTGGTTTCCTTCCTTCAATATCTTTTCATTATAGATATTGGCCATTGAAGAAATGAAACACTGGACTATAATAAGAACATGACCCAAGCTGAGAGAGATGTGACTGAAGACCTGGGCTGTGGTGTTCCACTTAGATTCAGGAAAAGGCCACTTCTTTGATGTGTCATTGTCTTTTCTGGGCCCCTCATCTTTGAAAACCAAACAGGAATTGGATGGGCGGAAGAACACATCATGATGAAATCCATGCCCTGCCAAGTTATGCTGTGAGGTTTTGGTTCCGGCAGTTAGGGCCACAATCGATAAAAACAGAATCAGGAGGGAGGCCCACTGTATCCAGTTTAGGTACCGCCTGTTTAAAGATGAAAAAAAGAGATTTTATTAATGCTGTTTTCTTTTGATTTACCAATAATTTCAAACAGCTGGAACAGAATGTGGTAGCTCCATACGATAAGCTCTGGGCTGCAAGCCAGCCGCTCCAACGGAGCAAGATGACGTTTTCTGCTCCCTCGAAGATGATAAGCCTCGGAAACCCTATACACACTCATTGAGTCAGAACCGACTCGAGGGCACTTTAATAACAGCTCAGAGACTGTATACTTACTGCTAGTATTCTCCACAGTTGAAGCTTTAAGGAAACTCTATGGTGCCTCTGCTTCTTACACTTACCATCCCTCACTCCCTTTTCTAATAGCTGACCCTTAATACCATTGAGTCATTTCTGTTCAATTTCTACTTTACTAAGCATCCTTTTTACCTCAAAAGTAATGTTATCCGAGGACATCATCTGGTATTCTAGAAATGATAACTATTATTGATTTGCCTGATCATTTACAATAACAACATAAGTTATAACAGATTCTTAATCTGGTGTTCATGAACCAGAAAGTACATGGATGAGCTTTATGAATATGTGAATTCTTTCACTGTTTTTTCAAATATAGGTGAAAGACTGCATTTCTCAAGCCAGGGGAACTGAAGAAATAATTCAAGCCTTCACTTTCATTATTGAAGGATTCTTTGGGCAAATTATTGAATGATGCAGAAAGCATCAAAAGAAGATGGAAGGAATACACAGAGTCACTGTACCAAAATGAAATGGTTGATATTCAACCATTTCAAGAGGTAGCATATGACCAAGAGCCAAAGATACTGAAGGAAGAAGTTCAAGGTACACTGAAGGAATTGGCAAAGAACAAGGTACCATAAATTGATGGAATGAAAATTGAAATCTTTCAAGAAAGTGAGGTGGCACAGAAGGCACTCACTCATCTATGCCAACAAATTTGGAAGACAACAACCTGGCCGACAGATTAGAAGAGATCCATATTTGTGCCCATTCCAAAGAGAGGGGACCCAACGGAATACGGAAATCAGAAAATCTCTTTGCTATCCCATGAGATTAAAGTTTTACTAAAGGTAATACAGAAATGGCTGTAAGCATACATTGACAGAGAACTTTCAGAGGTTCAAGCCAGATTCAGAAGAGGCCATATTATGAGGGCTATCATTGCTAATGTCCAATGGATCTTGGCTGAAAGCAGAGAATATCAGAAAGATGTTTACCTGTGCTTTTTAACTACACAAAGGCTTTCGACTGTGTGGATCATGACAAGCTATGGACAACATTGCAGAGTATAAGTATTCCAGAACACTTAATTGTGCTCTTGAGGAATCTGTACATGGACCAAGAGGCACATGGGAACACCTGTTCACGGTTTAAAATAAGAAAGGCGTATGACAGGGTTGTATTCTTTCACCATATTTATTCAA